ATTCTTGCTCTTAGTTTTTTTTATTTTTGTTTTTGTTTTTAATTGGTTGGCAACATCGCTTTTCAAAAGGACTGTATCTATTGAAAGCCGGATGGAATTTCTTTCCCAGTGTAGCAAGATAAATTTGCATATTACAAAGAGGCCATGTGCTTCTACTTATTTAGTAGAAAGCCAGGGTATCTCTAAATGGTTATTCCTTAAACTTATTAACATCATCTCCATACAAGTACCTCACTGTTTCATTAATAGTTATTACTGCTTTTGTATTTTACTACTTATTTTAAAATAAGGCGGGATTTTACAAGACTGGGCCTGTCAACAGCCAGGCATGGATCAGACAGAGACTCCCAGGGCCCTGCCTATCTCTCCTTGAACTATTGGCTACTGAAGGATTTGCAGAAGGGAAAATGGTTTCCTTCCATTGTTATTGTATATTCACTAATGATCCTACCAGGCTCCAGTGGGCATTCCAAACCTGTGGCCACACAGATAGCTTAGTCAAAATCAGTACATCACAAAACAAACAACTGGGGAAAGGGACCTGTAGGAAGGAGGTGAGGATGACAGAGGACGATCAGCAATGAAAGAAAACAGAGTGCATCATGTGTGGAAATGATAATGAAGTCTAGTCAAAACAAAAATTATGTTCTTGCTGTCAAGACTTCACTTGAAAAATACTTAATCTCAGCTAGGCATTGTGGCCCACACCTTTAATCTGAGGACTGGGGGAGAAGGGGGAAGAGAGGCAGGTGGATCTCTTGGGATTTGGGGTTTCTAGGGCAGCAAAGACTGCATACTGAGACCCTGTCTTTTGAAATAGAAAATTTTTACTCAGTAAATATATCTTATTGATAAAAATTACCATTTAGTCCTACTTCTAACTCTCCTGTTTACAGTGCCAAGGAAATCTGTGTTCATTGTCTCCTGAGCCTTTTGTTTTCTGTTCTTATGTTTGGCTCACATTCTGAGAGTTCTGTAGACGGTTTGGTTTCAGGAAATACCAGTTACTAAAGGAGGAGGTATCAACTTTTAAAGCTCTTATGCCTTCTCTTTTTCTTTCACCCTCAGATTTTACTGTATTTTTCTAAGAAAAAAACTATCCTAACTCTATAGAAATGCAGCTCATTAAAATATCCTCAAAATAAATACCTGCATTATAATATTTTTTTGCTCCTAGGTGAATTAGAAAACATTTTTATGTACCTGTACAAACAGCATTTCCAAGCAAATTGTGTTTGCTGTCCTGACCCCCTTCCCATTGTCACCCATACCCCAACAGCCCTGCCCCCTCAGAAATCCAAAGTCACCCCACACACACCCCCTGCTGCCTCATTTTAACAAAAAAACCTGTTCTGTGCATAACTTACTTGTTTTTACTGTATCTGGAGTCATTTTTAAGTTAACTACTGCATATTAACAAGTTCAACTTCAAAAAAGGATTTAAATTGCAGTTAAAAGAAAACTAGTTTAGCATACAGTTTGTTTGTGCCGCCCACCTACTGACATAAACCCTGGTCGAAAACCACTTCATAAACTAGTAAGAGGCAGGGACAATTGTTACTAGCATAAGCGCCAGCAATTAGCTGAGCATTCGTTAACTCAAGCATTACCAGTAACTGGAAAGCCATCTCTTAAAATTTGGGTTAAAGGAACTGAAGTTGAGATGTGGTTTAGCTTTTCTTCTCCCTAGTGTTGTTAAATTGCTGACTCTAAACTTTTATTAGCAAATATTTCAAAGCTGTTTTTGAAAGGAACAAGTCAAAACAATTATGAAATTGTTGTATTCTCTTCAGGCATTGTTTTGTATGTGAAGAATTAATATGTTTGACCCAAGATGCTCTTAAATGTGAAGCAATGATTTAAATCTAATACTCTGAAAAAAAAAATCATTGTATCATTAGGAATCTGTTTCATGTGCTGTCTGTGGCCACAGTAAGTGCCTTGTTATTTACTGACATTAAGTTTATAATAAGACATCATAGAAATCCGCCTCTTCTCTCACTGTATTACATACATGCAGAACAGAGTGCATTGTGATACCCCTGCCCCCAGCACACAGTGTATCAGCCACATGACTGGCCAGAATACAAGCCAAGCAGAGGTTAGGGCTCACTCTCACATTACATGTTTTACTGGCTTCTACTTTCCCTTTGGTGTTCCAGATCAAAGTTATCAGTAGCACAATGGAGCAGGCTCTAGCTTTAGCCTATAATAATTTTCTTTCTCTCGTAGCCATCTTCATTGAAAGTCATGTTTCTCATTTGCATTTATCATCATTGTAGTTGCCTTTGGAGATCATCTGATTCATGTTTATTTTCTCAAAAACAAAGCAATAAAACAAAACAAACTTAAATGTTCTTGGAGCACCACATCTTTAATGAAATCTAATTTGACAAGTTGTTTGCTATCAGATTTCAAGCATTATAGAGCAGTTTAATCTGCCTTTTTAAAATTAGAATTCTTCCTAAGGTGCTATGAAGCACTGTCATTATTGCAGAAACTGACTTCCCTTCCCACTGACAATGATGCAAGAGTCTCTGGTTCCTTTTTGGTGCTGGAAGGTGTCAAGTTATTGCCCTTAAAATATGTGAGAGCTGAGGTGAGAAATCCATTATGGTGCTATAAAAATCTCTGTGAACAAGTATTTTTCCTTTTCCCACCCACTGTCTTCTCTAGTGCTAGAATATTAACAGTGAATCTAAGTCAGCTAATGAAACTTTGTTCTTAATTTATTCAAAACTGAAAATTAATGTGTCATCAAAAGATAGTATAAAGTATGACTGACTGAATATTAAAACCTGTGAATACAGAAAATAGATAAATAACCACATACCATAATGTCACACACACACACACACACACACACACACAGCTATTAAAAAGCACCAGTATATTGCCAGAATGTGTTTTCACAGTTCATTACATTTCCTGGGGCATTTTAGTTTGATTTTAGTAAAGACAAACCATGATTCTTTGGGATATATTCTTTCTGAAGTGAAGTGGAGGAAGCCAAGGCCATGGCCGTGATCTTAGGAGGTTGGAAGATGGTCAGAATAGTGATGGGCTGGACCCAAGGGGTTAATTCAAGAAACCCGTCACCTCTCAAATTAGAGAATTCTTCCTAACAAGGTGTAAATGAGACAGGAAGTCTAGAAACTGTACAGATTCATGATTTTATTACCCATGTATCTCTTCTAGCCCTGGGTACATGAAGACTTGTGGAAGAGTTACCCAGTACAACAGGAAATCTAAAGTCAGCTCACCTGGAATAAAAGATGAACATAGGAAGGATGCTTAAATCTCATTCAGAGTGGCAACCAGGATAAACACCAGAAGCAGTGGAAGAGAGGAAACAGGATCGGAGTCTACTATAAAGGGTTCTCTGAAATGATGCACCCAACAGGGGATTGAAGCAGATGCTGAGACTCACAGCCAATCTTTAGGCAGAGTGCAGGGAGTCTTATGGAGGAAGAGAGGGATGGGATTAGAGGTACATGTTGGGTGGGGATAGAAGCACTACAAGGGAACCAACAAAACTAAAAGATCTGAGCCCAAGGGGTTCTGCAGAGACTGATGCACCAACAGAAGATCTTGCATGGAGAGGACCTAGACTCCCTGCTCAGATGTGGCCGATTGACAGCTCAGTCTCCATGAGGATATCTGAGTGAGGGGAGCAGGGGCTGCCTCTGTCATGAACTCAGTTGACTGCTTTTTGATCACTCCCTCCTGGTGATACAGCCTTGCCAAGCCTTGGAGGAAGAGGATCCAGGCATTCCTGATGAGACTTAACAAGCTATGGGCAGATGGCAATAGTGGAGAACTTTCCCTTTCAGTGGACTAGGAGAAGGGAATGGGGGAAGAGGGAGGAAGGGTGGGCCTAGGGGAGTTAAAAGAGGGGGCTTCAATCAGGGTATATAATGAATAAATAGTGAAGAAGAAAAAAATTAAAATTAAAAAAAAAAGATGGACATAAACCATTCATTTTGAGTGCTATGGCTAGTCAACCTCCAGTGTACCTTGCTGACATCACTGTGCTTTCTAAGAGAAACTTAAAATCTAAGACAAACTCAAAGATCCTCAGGACCGTACCTTACCTCTGATATGCACATTGTGAATTTTCCATTTTGTAGGAAAGTACAGAGTGAAGGTGTGACGTTTACAATACAGGCAGAGCCTTACACACAGTAGGTGCTCAAGACTGTACACCTGGAGCTTCGTTGTTTATTTTGAATAAGTATTAGGGTCTTTTGAAAGGTAACTTTGTATGCTTAAAATACATTTTATTTTTCGTGATCCCATTGTGGAGCACAGTCAGGCTGGCCATAGGGTTTTTCATTTTTAAAAATGAAATGTGTATAGAAAGTAAACACATAGAATTGCTTGCAACGCTGCACACAGGTTTGGCAAAAATACCAACAGGTGATGGGAACTTCACAGCTCATCAGAAAAGAGGCTCAGAACATAGATAAGCCACGGTTGACACTTTTCAAGACCCTGACTTAAAGAAAAGCTGGATAAATAGTAAAGAATATCTTCAAATAAAAAAATAACATGGTACAAGGCCTTGGATTTCATCTCCAAGTCTTGAAGTAATTGTGTTCTTCAAGTAGCATGATAGTCTGAGCGCTGTCCTGGATGGCAGATTGGGTGGGGTAGCAAGCTTAATCACATAAGCGTTCTTTACACTATGTATTATATAAACATTTTTAAGTAGTCTAATCATCCTCAGGAGATTCTTTTGAGTAGTGAAACCACTACAAATAAAGTTACTGGGACAGAGGGAGAGACTGATTTGGCAACTATATTAATTTCTAAACCCGTAAGATTTACATTGTCAACAGAATACTGTTGCTGACTGCACTTTTACTCATTACTTTGTTTTTTCCTTGGGAAAATCCGGATGATGAAGAAATGTAAAGACTTCCTCGTTGATTTATTTATTCATGCTCAGACTCCGGTTTATTTCCCCACTGACTGTGATGTGTTTGGTTTGACTGTAGGGACACCACGGTGCAGGCTCTGACTCTTCAGCCCTCGGTTAAAGATGGACTGATTGTGTATGAAGACTCACCTCTGGTCAGTAAGCCTGAGATAAAGTGTTCTGAAGTGTGCTTTCATTTTACCTGGGTTAACTGTCTGATTGGAGCACATGTATGTATCACGTGGATGCATGTTCCTATCGAAAGGAAATTACTGGGAAAATAACATATTCTCTTACTGAGCTCTCTCTCCTGAGTGAGTGATTCATGGACTGACACAAATTCTCTACTTATTTTCTGAGATTTTTTTTTTTTAATTCTGCTGCTGTTCTAAACTAACAGAACATTAACTCAGTGCTTTGGGAAGCTGAGAGGAGCCAGCCCCCACTACAGGTTCAAGTCTAAGCCTGGCCACAGAGCTGTTCAGCAGGCAGCCAAAGTAGAGCTGCTGTGGGCCAGGCCCAAGGCTGCGGACTTCGTGATCTATGTCCTTCGTGATCAAGTCCCCAAGGTTGAGCAAATCCTTCTCTGAACACAGATATGTTGGGGGGGGGGTAGACATCACATCTTTTCTTTCTTTAATTTAGTTTATTTTTATCATAAATTTATTTTTAAAGTCTGTATCAAGTCTTTGAGAATACAGTATGAAATATTGTGATGAAAGGAAGCAACCTAGAGGGGAGGTGGTATTGCACACCTTTAGTCCCAGCACTCAGGAGGCAGAGGCAGGTCGATCTCTTGAGTTTGAGGCCAGCCTGGTCTACAGAGTGAGTTCTAGAACAACCACAGCTACACAGAGAAGCCCTGTCTCAAAAAAAAAAAAAAGAAAGAAAGAAAAGAAAGAAAGAAAGAAAGAAAGAAAGAAAGAAAGAAAGAAAGAAA